ATCTACATTGCAAACTCACACAAAGCATCTAAGTGGTTTGCCCAAGATTAGACAGTGAGACAAGGATAGCTTTAGGGAGCCTAGGATGGCCTGGGAGATTGTTTCCTTTGCTTGAGTGCTATCTATCTCAACACACAGGCCCCAGAGCTTGGTGCCACTGCAGTGTCTGCTTTGCTGCACATGCATATGTGGTGGCTGAGATCATGTAAACACTTAGGGCAGCTTTTAGTTCACTGAGGGAGTGCACCCCTGTTTGGAAAGAATCAGCAGCCCTAAGCTCTGGGCAGCACCAAACGACTTAGTGTAAAATTACTGCCAGTGTTTTAGCCTACTTGAGACACAGAAAGGAAAGATGGTGAATCTGAAACTTAAAGAATTGTTTAGCCCAGCACTGTACAAAGACAAATGGGAATGAAGATGAAGAATAAGAATACCAAAGCTTACACCATGTTGCATTGTCCTCCAGATAGTCCTCTGGGAAGCAAGAGGGAAACAGATTCAGGGAACAGAAGAAACAAAATGAAATAAAACAAAACAGAAACAAAACAAAGAAAAGAAAAGAAAAACAAAACAGGTTATACCAAACAGGCAACCACAGAGAAGATAACGAGTTTTTAAAAGCAGTATATATTAAATAAGAAATCTTAGTTCGTACTCTACAGAAGCAGATGAGTGCCACGGTTAAAGTTATTTAATTTCTGACACTATTTATCTTAACATTAGATGCAATTGCTAGATGCCTTAGCCTAAAGTTGTCACTATTTGGCACTTTGTAGAAGAGAGCTGGGAAATGATTTCTCGGAGAGGTTTAAATATGTACATTATGAGCTAAATTATAGTTTAGAAATATTTAATCACATCTCAATTGCATAAACCTATGTTTAGACAAATGAATGATGGCCATCATTTCTCTCGATTAAAAATAAAAAATAGATATTCAAATCTGAGATAGTCATTTAGGCATCAAAATTGGGAAGACAGTTGTATATATTTATACTACTGATCTCTACATTTAATCACTAAACTCCTCATTTTGGCTTCTGTTATAACCAGGAGAGAAATAGGATGGAATCCAGTTCCCTAAATATAGGCATACAAAGTACATTCAGTGTTACCTAAATATAGGCATGTAAAATAAATTCAGTAGCTTTGAGGTTCCATCTTGCTTCCAGACAGGCTTTCTGTGTTTTTTTCTAGTAACATTTAGACATCTTGAAAACCATAGGTGTTACAAGTAGTATTAAGTGACTGTTTATGCAGCTGAATCCCAACTAGGGGGATCTGACAGTCAGATGCCAGATAGTAGGCATCTTAGGTATCCTACTTTATTTTCAACCACTGCCCAGGAGAACACAGGCATCCTGAAGGACTGTCCTAACTGCCAGCTCAGTCTGATGTTCTAGATACCCTGAGGCATCTCAAACGGCGTTGCATATCTAAATGTGGATAACTAAATTGAGACTTTCATTTCCCACTCGGTGAGCAGTGTCTGTAACTGCTGGGGTAAGTCACTCTCTGAAGACACACGTCTCTCTCCATTGACTTTGGAAAAGCCTGGCTTTTAGGCCTCATGCTGAGCAGACCTGATGTAATTGCCTGAACGTAGGTTCTGCTTGAGATGCTGCAGCATATTCTACCTGGCTCCCCTTAGCTACTTTGGAGGTACCTGAATCTTCTCACCACATCAGTCAGTCCCTTGTTTCTAGTACAGTCAGGAGTCTCAGATAGTGCTTTACACCCATGCTTAGACAATTCTCTCAATATCTATGTGACTTCCTAAATACAACCAATACATTTAAATTCACCTACACGTGCTTTAGGGCTTTTTCACATTTCTCACAATTAATTTTGATCTATTTTTTCTTTGTTAAGCTTTTCTGGTTAACACTGTGACAGTAACACATGGAAACCTCTCTTCTTGAAATGCAATAGCTGGATTAATTAAACAAGTTCAGCAAGGATGAAGAAGCGTGTTTTCAGAAGGGTTCACTACCTTACTGTTTCACTATAGACTCCTTATGAGAGATCTGCTTTCTGCAACATACCTGATAAAATATGCTCAACTGAATTAAGCTCATAAACAGGAATATGAGCATGAGTTAAAAATTGATTCAGATATGCTACCTACTTGAGATGCAGAGGAAATATTTTCTAAGCTCAGTCACTTCTAAGGGCACGTTGTCAAAGACATGAAAGCAGAATTGTTTGTTACTTCTCCTTTTGAGGCTTACATAGCTGGATGTTTGGACTTTGTGGTGACAGTTAAAACTTAAATGGTCTAACAGTGTTTTATGAATAAAATATCCAGAATAGACTTCTAACAGCATTAATGTAAGGCTGACTCAATGAGAGAAAGTTCCTCTACATAAAAGCAGATAATAATTACTCCTTATTTGTATTTCTTACATCTATAATAATCAAACGGGGCTTTAAACATTTGACACTACTATCAAAATTCTCATCCTGCTGTACATTTGTATTTAATAAGCAATAGGAAATGATCAGCGTGCAGACTGGAAAACTGCTTTGAGTGGGATTTTCTGTGTCCTGTTAATGACGCAAGGATGGGGAGGATCTAACTGAAGCTGGTCTTCCAGGTTCTGTCTATAGTTAGTGAAGAGAGATATGTGATTTAAGGAATGATTCATCGCGTAACACACTGAGAGTCTAATGTAGGCAGGTTGAATGGTGCTCCTGTGAGGCAGGAGTGCAACATTTATATCCTTCTGGATAAAATTACCGAGGATGGTGTGAGATGTAGGCAGTGACCTTTCCCAAGTGTTGCTAAGGGATTACAGCTCTGAAACAAGGCCTTCTGCCCTAATCCACATAAACAGCCTTTCCTCGCTCCAGCTCAGATCACTGGCCATCTCAAGTTTCAGGGATTGTTGCTCTCAACCCAAAAGGAGGCAACACATGTATCACTGCCGTTTGGAGATGGATTTGATACCCACACACATAGCTAACAGGGCATGAATAGTTACTATTTTAAATATCACCAGCAAGAAAGACAAATAACCATTTTCCTGTAATAACTCGTCACAGAAAAAGCAATAACGCTAAATTATTATTATTATTTTTCTTTTTCTGAAATAATGCCTCAATAAAGCTAGTTAAATTGCATAGGGAAAAATCCCCTTTGAAATTCTAGAAGTTATTTTGAGTAATAAGGGATTGCCTTCACTGGCAGTTTTCATTTGTTACAGCCTTTAAAGGCAAGCAGCATATCTATCTCACATTAGTGCTTTATTCAAGATGCTGCCCAGTATTTTGGAAGTTTGTAGTGTAAAAAGACAACAATATTTAGAAGCGAACATGGAAGATCTTATGAAGCGTTTTTCAGTGCAAAAATGCGCCAACAGTTCTTACAATATAGCAAGTGGACCTGTGCTACCAGCCTTTCTTTCCTTTTGTGGCTTTCCTCTCACCTTACTCTTTTTCAGCCTTTAACTTTGACCAGAGCATGACTAAAGTCTGCTTGCTTCAATGACCTTTAACTTCAACTTGGTAAGTTCGAGTTAAGATCCAGGCCCTATACTGCACCAAGCAAAAAGGACTGCTTCTGTGAATCTCAAGAGATAGGGTAAAATTAAGATACTGTCAAATATGAATTGAGCATTACCAGCAAGATTTTTAGCCCGAGATGCTATACTGTGTTATGAATCTACTGTGTTAGAGAGATCTAACTGTACAACAGAGATCTTTTCTGTTCCTCATTTTAGGATAATCAAGCTATACCATTTCCAGGGAAAAAGAGAACTCAAAATATTGGGTTTAGCTGCAGAGCAATCCCATGTCCTGACTAGAAAGTTGATAGTTTTCATTTGAATTGCAACAGAGATTGAGGGAATACAGTAGATTAATGGATGGGCTACAGCATAGGCTTTTGGAAAGACTTTGGTGTGATCTGTGGTGATTATCAAAGGAATTTACGGAATTATGGTCCAAGGAGAGACTCAGATCCTGATTGAATTAGTGTATTTGGGTGTCTGGTGCTTACTGGAATAACTTCTAGATAGTTTAGACTCACAATCAGAACCATAGCAAGGCACTGTCATGCTGCAGTGCAGCTCAAATCTGTCAGGCACTCAGGAGAATGACATCCCACCAAATGCTCAGGCCCAGCTACCAGCTGCTATTCCCAATGGGTTGCTTCTCTTCTTTCACTCTTCCTGCAGCCTGAACATGAGTCTCTTCTAAAAGACAGACCAATGCTGTACAAGTGTTCAGCAATAACCATGGCAAGCAGAGGCTGTGCTATACTGTCTGATTCAGATGCTTTACAAGTCTTTAATTTTGCCCATTGGCCTTATTTTGAGATAATTGCTGAGATAGTATTAGAAGCTATAATAATTAGCCTACTATAAATCTTTAGATGTATAAATAGCAGGAGCATCATAATCTGAAATGAAAATCTGATGACTGGTAGTTGAGAAAATAATCTTGTGTTAAAGTCTTGTTATTGAAATGATTGATTAAATAAAACAAGATTAATGATCACTCATGTTTCAGCTGATAAAAGTCAATTTTTGAGATGGATGGAAATAAAGTAGTTGTTATTTTATTATTAAATGAAAGAGTGGAACAAATCAACATGCCTTTGCAAGTGGATGTCTTGAACTGTCAGCTAAAGATGTATTAGATATTTTAAATACCTTAATAAAAAAAAAAAAAGTATTATTGCAGATTACTTTTCAAAGAGAATTCATATTGCAAAGTACCTTTCTTGGCTCATCTAATTTTTGGCTTGCAGGAAAGAATTTATTGTCTTCTAACATTTCTAATACATAAAAAGTGAGTCATATTGTTCTCCTAGAATGCAATTCTGTTGTATTTCCAATGGGAGAAAAAAAGTTATTGAATGCCAGAACAGTTGGCACAGAAACTATATGAAGTGATTATGAAATTATTAAAAAAAAATGTGTCAAGAGATTATCATTCTTCTACTGTATTACCAAACCATTTCTACTTATTGAAGAATGAAGTACATTTTGCCTTACCAGCCTATCCAAACTTGTGCCAGCAGCAGTTGTAGGTCGCTCCTCTGGGTTATATGGTCTAAACCGTGTATTGAAGTTTTCAGAGACTGAACGGGAAGACCTCAGGGCAGGTGCTGGCTTAGGCTGACCACATCCTTGGAAAACCTGAAAAAGATATTGTAGGTTACATGACAGCCATAAAAAAGAGGGAGGCTGGTGTTTTACATCCTCTTTTTACTCTCATATATTTGAAACTTCTTATTTTACTGACATTTTCGTAACAGTGAATAGAGCACTTGCTCAAAAACTCAGTTTAATAATTAAGCATTAATAATTACTCAACGAGTACATAAGAACAGATAGGGTCCTTAAAAAACACCTGCTTCATGAAGGTGATTATTCTAAGAAGTTAACACTTGAAAGCACAAATGAGCCCTTTGTGACAGGACTTGTTTAATAACTATTTCAGCTTTTGTTAAACATGGTACTTACACAAAATCACAGTTAATTCGTAATCCTTCTCCTCAGCTATTCCTATCTGGTAATTTTGTTTGTAGTCTCAAAGAAAAGGTCAGTGATGAAAGAGTCATATTACTAGATTATTTTCTTATTTCCTAGCTGGCCTGATACGAGAGATGATTATAGCTGTATTTAGTGGGCTGTAATTTAGCTGTATTTAGTAACTGTGAGAATAGTTATCTGGAAGTGCGTTTGTTTTCTAGGTATGAAGATAATGTTCAGAGTTGTGAGATTTTTCATATTCTCTCATTTGGAATGAAGTTTCAGTTGCATATATTTTGTGCATCCTAATGTGAATAGAAGACACATTTGACCGTGAGCATTAGGTATGTATCCCAGAGGAACTCTTACAGAAGCTGGTCAACTGAAAGGAGGTAGAATATTCATGCAATAACATTTTTTCAAGTTCTGTGATGAAATAGGATCTTAGTGTTTGCCTTAATGCCATCTTTTTCACTTCTGGAATAACCCTTTTTTGTTACAGCTTGGCTACTTTTAACATTTTGCCATCATTCTGAAGAAAAAGAAATTAAACATCATCATTTATTGTAAGCTAATTTTTATAAAACTGTAATGCCAAACACAAACTATTTGTCCAAATGCCAAATATATGTGCTGGGAAAATTTTACACATTTCTTCTTACTATAGATAAGTTATGCATGAGAATCTTAACTGTTTATTTAGGTATCTATGAAGTCCCTCTTGGCCAACTAAACAATCAAGCTGTTTGCTTGCAGAGACAAATGGCAATTTTGCAACTTGAATTTCAGAGGAAAGTGTGGATACTCAATCATAGAATCACAGAATGGCCTGGGTTGAAAAGGACCACAATGATTGTCCAGTTTCAATCCCCCTGCTATGTGCAGGGTCACCAACCATCAGACCAGGCTGCCCAGAGCCACATCCAGCCTGGCCTTAAGTCTTCTTAACTTTCACAGAATGTGTTAGGCTACCTGTATGATCATGTGGAATAGCTATAAGTCTGCATAATTTAATTTCTCTTGTGACATATTGGTAAAACTAACACAGATATTGTGGCATTTCACTTCATAGTTGTAAGCAGTAAGTAGTTTTGTGTGTACAAAATTATTTAAAGCCAGACAATAACAGAGGTAGAAATTAGATAGCAATTTTTAGATCACAGAAGAAGAAATCATTTAGTTTTTAAATGACTTGGCAAAAATGCAGTAAGGATGCAATGATCTGTAACTAAATTTTGAGTGCCAAAACCACATTTTCTAATTTGCATACAGGCATGAACTGACAAGACAGAAAATGTAAAGCTGATACCTGAAATTAACAAATGCTCCCTAAGAAGAAGCACATTAAGTACTTCACAGAGCTGTTCAGAACAATTTATAGGAAAATATGCTGGTATTCCATTACAAATGACATGAGCTAGCAGCAAAAATCCACTCTTTAAAAAAATGTACTTTATATATAATTGGTGCTGTCTACTTCATCTGAATTTGGAGAAGCAATTCCACTTGAAATTAAGAAATCAAGGTCTAGGTGTATGAATGTAGGTGTCTGTTTTCGAGCTAAACACCCACTTTTAGGCAGTGGAGATGAAAATTGCCCTTTGGTTGCTTTCTCATCAGTGTCTATAATCATCCTAGGATATCTGACATCTGGTAAGGCTGTCTTACCACAAGACACATGGGAGACCATTCCTCTCTGAACTGCAGCTGAAGCTCATATGATGCATCCTAAGGTGCCACAAAGAGCAGAAAACCTCTGTGGTCAGGGGCTTTGAACGAAGCCATGTGATCAAATCAGCGGAGTCAGTGTAAAATTACTTCTATTGAGCTGACTAAATGGAGCTATCTACTTCAGGATGAGTGAGTAGATACTGTGAAAAAGGAGTTCTTTTCCTAGGAGAACTCACTATTTTGAATCCCAGAAGAAAGAATTTCTGAATCTATGAAGCTTTGAGTCATACTATTATTTAGATGTACTAGTGCTCAGTGTTTCCTATTGAATGCCTCCATACAACTTTGCTCCATTGACTCTCTCATCTTCAAATAGAATAGTATTGATTTTTTTCCTGAAGTGCCATTATATTTTTAAAGTACAGGGCTCTGGAAAGAACACAGATAAATGAAGAGGTTTTGTTAATATGAAACTCTAGGGCTATTTTAAGAAGAGAGTTGGACAAGTAGTTTTATGAAGATTTCCTCCTTATAAATAATACATAAGTAGTCCACTATGTCATGGAGCTCATTCGTCCTTTTAACTGGAGTAATTGCCAAAAAGGAACATGTATCTATAGATTAAAATGGCACGTCCATCAGCTTAGATAGAAGATGATTTAAGACTCACTAATAGGAGACTCAGCTATGGGGATAGCCTTTATGGAAGAGCAAAAATCTTGGCATGGTATCCAAATAACACCTAGAGCAGTCAAGCAAATATTTATAAAACCAGATGGTTTAAAATGTGGAAAATAGCCCAATATGCATTGTGTTTTGAGGAACAAGGAAAATTACACAAATACAACAAAATTGGGAATTTTCTGCATTTTGAGGAATTGCAGCACTTTTTTGCTGTTTTGTGAGCTTTCTTCCACTTGCAGAAGTCAGATATTAAATATTTATATTACTGAAGTGTAGGATTTGCTCTTTTACTTCACGCAAGCAAGAAAGGTAAAGGTACTGCCAGATTTATGGGACATTTGTGAAGAACTTCAAGCAAGTTTGTTTTGGCAAGGATTGAAAAGATTATAGATATTTGATAACTCCCTGAATATTCTCTGGGAGAAGGAGAATAAGAGTTAAGCATATGTATGCTATGACTACATTTTGAATATGAGCTGAGCCATGAGTAAGAATATGTAGATTTACTAATTATACCACTTTTATTTTCAGATCACAAATACGTGTCACTGCTGAATGACAGAGATTTCAGTAATAAAAATAAGATGTCTCAGACATTATCAGGAGAAGCACAACTTCACTCAGAATTGCAGAATCACAGGGGTTGGAAGGGACCTCTGGAAATAACCCAGTACAATCCCATTCCTAAAGCAGATTCCCTAGAGCAGGTTGCACAGCTGGTGTGCAGATAGGTCCCAATATCTCTGGAAAAGGAGACACCACAACCTTGGGACAGCCCATTCCAGTCAGTGCTCTGTCAGCCTCACAGTAAAGAAATTTTTCCTCGTGTTTTTATGGTCAATCTGTTGCAACCTGATTATTACCAGATATTGCCCTCAGAGACTACTGAAGTCTGAGTAGATCCAGTTAGCCAAGCCTACATTTAAAACATACAGACAGCCTAGATTGACAGCTTTTTTCACTCTGCAAGGACGGTTTGCAGAAGGTACTCTGTCAGGATGGCTGTGAGTGTTACATGATAAAGTGATGGAATTTGGTTGTGACGATCTTTAGTCTTTGCATATTTCTGGAAAAGGGAAACTCAGATCTGATTCAGAGCATGTAGATTTCTCTTGCAGTAGGCCTTGGGGTTTGACTTTGTGAATCATTGGTACTTTCTGAAAAGCATCTCCAAATATTGCAGCTGTCAGAAATGTGACTTTCCCTGAGGCAAAATAAAGACCTCTTGAGGATGTTGTTCAGGGACATGACAGCCACACAAGGTGAGCTGCATATGAAGCTTAGAGATTTGTGGCCAGACTTTTTAAACAGCCAGTGCTGAATATAGACTGTCAAGAAAACAGAGGATCCCAGCCTCAGGATGAATTGGAAGATCTTAGCATAATACTAGTACCTGGTTAATGTGAACTGTGCTGAAAGAATGAACTACAGTCAGCTTACAAACAAGAAAAGTCAATGACCTAGGAGCAGAGATGCTCCATTTAATGCAGTGACAGGTACAGGGATATGGCTGGGACTGTATGTCCTTGGTCAGGAATACAAAGATAGAAGAGGTATTTGTGGCACCTCTACAATTTTGTTTCAATATTGATGTGCACCCATCAAGAGTGAAAGAAAGAGGGTTTGTATCTCCTAAGGAAATGAAAGACAAGATGTGAACTCCAGCAATAAGCCCTGTCTGTCTGCACTGATTAATTGTTAGCTCATTGGCTTTTTCTTGGACTGCTCCTACTTGTTCTTTGCTGAATGAAACAACTTCAAAGAATGTAGATCTCAGCAGTATAGAAATGAATTGGTCTATAGCACTTGGGCCTCAAGGTCAGGGACTGTTCTTTATCCCCCTTTTATTTATCAGTACAACTGTAACCATGAAGATTATTTCTCAGAAAAATAGTTCTGAATAGGTTGTGCATATTGTAATACAATTATTATGTTGGAAAGCACACATCATTAAATTTTGCCTCCCTATGCACAGTAATGTACAGCAAATTTATTATACCTATACATATTTTTCTCAAATAAATTCCAATATATAATTGCAGATGGTGTCATGCAAAACATATATCTTGCAAAACAAAGGCAAACTGATAGTTTTAATGGGAATGACTTCTGGAACAGAGCAATTTACTCAAATGCTTGAAAAAGGAGAGGGATGGATATTAGTTTAACTGATCTCTGGGTCTTCTGTCTGAAAAGGAGATGAGATTAGTGAGAGTTACTCACTAATACAAAAACTCACTAGTACAAAAACTACTGTTTGTTGTAAATTTTCCCATTCTTTTGAAGAGAGAAACAAAATACAAAATGGCCTTAAGTGCTACTGAACAAAGCTTAGAGACTCTTTGTAGACATCAGACAGATTTTCAGTTAGGAAAGGATGCATGTCAGTGGTGAAGAATAATGTATGTGTATGTGGGTGTTGCAAGCATGATGTTAGTGCATCATCATTTTCCCATTGTAAAAATGCATTGACTGACTTGTGGAAAATAGGCTGTGATTTTTTCCAGTCACCACATTTTCAGTGGATACAGTCAAATGCAAGGTACAAAATTGTTTGAAAAAAAGAGAAAATAGCACGATTTCAACACCCTGCCTGAAGCTTGCTGAGCAGAGTCTCAGAATATTTGACAAGCGTGGCTTTTCTCCTACATTAGATCTGCAATTGCATTCTGTGCACCCCATTACATCTGGTAAGGTATCTGTCATTTTCACTGAAGATCTAAGTGGTCAGTATGTATAAGGGAGAAAAATTAGGCAATAGATGAATGGTGCAAAGTCTGCTCATACATCATCCCTATAGATTTGACATGACAGACGTAGAAGATCATAGAACTGAACCCCAAGACTTTGCTCTCTCATACTTGAATAATAAAACACTTCTATGTGTCAGGGCATGAAAAAAGAGGGATGTAACCTAGGAAAACAAGGAAAATGCATTTCTGGAGAATAATGGTCTAAAGAGAAAATACAAAAGCCCCTCAAGCAAAGACAGCTCAGTTATCTGTGAAAATGTGGAAAAATAAATTTCACTGATATAGTTTTGAGAAAATATTGGATAAGATTTCTCTTAGAAGAAAAACTTTAGAGTGCAAATGGAATTTCAGTGATTTATTAACCTTTACAGCAAATAAAATATTTCTGAGGGATATGACATACAGCCTCCTCTATTGCAAATGAGTACTGTGATGAGCTTGTGCCAAGGTGATGTCATTGGATTCTGGCAGGGAATGCAGTTTCCTGACTAACAGAAAAGCTGTGATATTGGAGCAAATGAAAAGGAAATACACCTGAGCCTTTGGTCAGCTTTCAGTGAAAATATTTTCTGTTTCTTTTCTGAGGTAAGGGCTGAGATTTCTGAAGCTGGCCTTTGATTCCCCAAATGTTTGGCTGATAAACTCATTGATCACTGCTGCCAGAACAAAGTCTCATTGCTCAGGATGTAGACTACTTTCAAAATCCAAGTAACTTCAGGGAAGTTGAAAGTAATAGCGTCTTGAAGGAAATTTTTATAATCCCACAGCAGTGGGCCTGTAAAATAATCTAATTTTGGACTGGCAGGAAGAATATTAACCTTTTATCCCCACAATTTTCCTAGCCAGGGCAACTTCCTTTCAAACAATGGAAACTCACCAACTCAGGTAGCCATCTCGCCAGCGCCTAACTGGCTGCTGGGAAATCCATGTGGGTGGAAACTCTCAATGCAGAGAACCTGGCAAACTGTTGACTTTCAGTTTTGTTAACTGCAGTGCACTGATGCATATTAAGGAAAAGACATTAATTGGTGACTGCTGCCTCAACAGCACCTGCTACTGAATTCAAAGGACCTTATTAAAATGGGGTTTAGAGGTGGCGGTAGTCTGTGTACACAGACACACTAAAAATGGAAAGGAGGACGCTGGTATCATTAACTCTGTTTATCTTTATGTCAGAATCCAGACAAAACTCCATCAAATTGAGGTCTGCTAATCAGAGGCTGTCCAATGTAATGATATTTCCCTGGAGAGGATATTAAAGGAGGTTAAATGGATCATTTTCTGTTCACCTCAAACACATTGTGCTGTAGCCTGACCTAAACAGATCAAAATGTGTGTGGATGTTAATATGGGGAATCACAGATAAGAACAGGCAGAGCTTACTGAGTGCACTCTGCTGAGTATTGAGTATTACAGTTACCTCTAATTTTTAGCAGTGTCTGTTTTCCCCAAAGTTCTTGCAACTATTAATTTGAAGTTTGCTAAATGACACTTTTCTCCCATTGTCTTCATTTTAAAAACTTCAGGCTTGTTTAACTAGACAAAGGATTCAAAGGCATCCCAGTGAACTATTGAACGAACAAATGTAATTTCTATTGTCTGGACAATCTCTCTTAAGGCCTGGGCAGAAAAAAAGTGCTGGATAAGTTTTTTTCTCCTCCTTGTCATAGTGAGCAACAGAGAAGGCGTGACCCACACAGTACCTTTGCCGACACCTGCATGCTGTTTTCTTGCATGTTCATGATGGCTTCAGAAATCTTGACATCAATAGGATCCATGACTGATTCAATGTTGAATGGTCCCTCTAATCTCTCCGCTACCAGAAGCATAGCATCTGTTAAAACACAAAGCAGCCATTCCCTTAAAGAAGAGGTACCTTCAGGTGCCTCAGGCAGACCGAGCGCTCCGGACAGCAGTGTGAGGATGTGTGATAGTGGGGAACCTGCCTGCAGTGTAGATCCCAGTCAGTAGGAATGTCTCCCCTTTCCACCACCACCACCGAAAGAGGAACAGGGCCTGTAAAAGTTAGATTAATAATAGTTGCCATAGCATTATCGAGCTTGGGGTGCAATTATTTTACACAGCATCACACCATTTGAAGCAGCCAGAGCTCTGGAGTGTGCTTATGTTTTCTCTGTCCCAAGAAGTCGCAAGATGATAGAAATGAATCCCTGGGGTATATTCTTGGGGGCTGTGTGAGATGATGAATACTTTGATATGATATATTATGGTGTTATAATTAAAGCAGCTGTTCTTTCCAACCTTAATGATCTCATTTTCTCTCAATACGTACCACAGATGAATATTGGATTTCTGCCATAGTATATAGGTATAACCATGTTCACCCTGCTGCATTTCAAACTGTAGTTGAAAGGTTTATGCAGGAAAATATACTCTTTGTTTTTTGAAGTTAAAGAGAATTGTTTACTTAATTTGCTTTTGAGACCCTCTCAAAAACAATTATAGCTAGGAGAGTTCACTAACAAGTAAAAACAAAGCAACTGAAGTGAAATTAACAACAATAAAAACAGATTTGCCACATCTCACATCCATTGACACAGACAGCACAGTTTCTGTCATCTGATATACTGCATTTATACTATGCTTTTGAACATCACATTTCTTTCCTCTCCTATGTAAGCATCTAAGACTTCCAGAATCAACGTACATTTAAACCCACAAGCAATATTAACACAATAAACAAAAACCTTTGCATACTCTCTATCTCTCAAACTCAGGCTTCAAAATGTACTAAGCAGGCTTCCTCCTAAAACAGACCTCATTTGTTCTTTGCTGCAGAAAGTACCAGTCCTGCAAAGCTGTGCCAAGAGGCATGGAGCACTCCATCGCTTTGATGGCAGTGCTATCCCTGCACTTGGCTAGAGAGTCCTGGGGCTCCTTTCCCGTTTGCATGGCTGTCTCCTTCCTTCCCACAGAAGCATGCATCTGTGGATTTAGGGAAGAAGATGCTGGTGTCTCACAAGAGTAGCTGAGAAGCAAAAATCTATGCACAGCCTAACCTGAGGGTCACAGCATGTTAACAGTTTATGTGCAATCAGTGAGTGATTAAATATCCCACTGAAATTGAAATTAGCATTTTTTTACCTAAGCACTTCTGTAATTTCAGGTCTAATACGTCACTGTACTTTCAGGCTAGTAAGAGGGGCATGCCTCTTTTTTGGAGTGGGGTGTTTTACACTTGCCACTAATTGTGAGAAATGGTGAGATGAAAGCAATTCAGTTTCAAACAGAGGTGTAATTTTGACAGCCTGTTATTTTGAAGTGCTTTAGTTTAAACCCTTTTCAATGGGATGCTTAATGAAAACTGCACCTAACTCTGATAGAAGAACCAAAATATTTTATGCACATACAAAGTTATATACTTTCATAGGCACACACACACACGTATATATATATACCTGCACATGCATGCATTTTATTTTTCCACAGATGGAAGTATGGTCCAGTGTAAAGGATTTAATTCCCCACAAATTTAGAATGTCTTCTATAAGACATTTATATCTTTGAAATTTACAAGTAATGAGATCAGCCTAAATCCCAGCTGCCACAACTACGAGAAAGCAGTGTTCTGGCAAAAGTGGTGGCTGGATTCTGGAGGCGCTTTAGTTTTAGGAGTTTATGCATAAAAGAATTGGTGTTATTTATTCATTACAAGAGTAGCTCACATCTTAATTTAAGGACAGGTAATTCTTTACTCCAACGTGGTTTAATTTGGAAACTAACAAGCTGAACAAGCCTGCTTTTGAGCTCAAGTACATGTGTGAGATAAGGGACTTTGTTGAAATAGAGGTCAGTAAATAGGTAACTGTTGGTATGAGAATCCTTCATGAGAACAAGTGGTAGCATTAGTTCACTTACTGTTTGTTCTGATGATAAGGATTGCTAGTTCTGAATTAAGTCTTGAAAAGGAATCTCAACTATGTGACAGAAAAATGCATGATCCTTGACTGAACAGGAATCACAGTGTCAACTGTCAGAACAGCCTTATCTCAAGCAAAGTGCCATCAACTTCAAAATGAATAGTACCAAAATATATATAAACTAAAATCTGTCCTTTGGTTAGACAATTGGTAATTTTAGAAAAAAAAAACACCTTTCAGTACATCAGCTTCCGTTCATAACCTGAGTTTTTGCATTATAATAGCAGCCTTAGTCTTCGTTCTGGGAACGCATAAAGCTGAGGAGTGTAGTTAATTCCTGGCTGTCATAGATCTCTCTGAGCCTTTTGCTATGTTAAACTTCCTTGTTAGATATATTCTGGTTGCAGAACTGATGGTAGCTTCAAGGGCTTGGGTTCTACTTAATATTAGAGTCAAGTATGTTTCAATCACGTGGGCTATAGCCCCATGTAAAATAGAAAAGAAGTTCTAAAGGGCTAAGATAGGGCTGATTCAAGTGGCTATGCTACTTGAAGGCTCATTTTAGGGCTCAGATCAGACTAGAAGCCCTTGTTGATTGCAAAATTTAGGTAAGCTCTTGTATAAACTGAAAAGTGATGTTTTTGTTTTCAACAAGATGTGTGGGGCCACTGATGATTTAGTGGTGATTGGACTGATGAGTTACTCCTGCCTCCTTCTGGGAGGAGTACCAGCTCAGCCAAAGCAAAAGACAATGAGTAAATGACATTTCTGTGAACTGCAAAATGATTGTCTCAGTCTTTGTCTGACTGAATTCTTCCTACTACCTTTTCTCTAACCATTGTTATCCTTAACATTAAGTCAAACCTATCTGGGTGATATCTGGCAGACCTTGACTGAAAGAAGCTTTAAAGAGTGAGGAAATCATATTATTTGGGAGCGTGTGAGCCTTTTGGAAACAGAATCACTACGGTAGTAGCCTCTCTCTTCTGAATTTTTGAGCTAGCTCTCCAACTAAGATTCAGGCTGAATTTTCTTAACATTGATCTCTAGGAAAAAACAGTGTGTTTTCTTTAGATTAATTCCTCACTTGGAAGATATTCCCTCAACTCATTAGGTTTTATTGTCTTATTTGCTAGCCACAACCATAAATCTATTACTACACCATTCTATTCACTTGCATAATTCTGTATGAATAGATACAATGTACATGCACAACATATTCTATGCAATTTAATTAAATAAAACCTGTTAGATTGAATTAAAGAAAATCAAATGAAATTTAATCATCTCAGAGTTATAAGAGGTCATTCAAAATGGTGTTATGATTCTTCACAGTTCATAGCTCATCGAGTCTATAATCATGTAACAATATATATACAGTGTTCTGTCCCAAGTCTGTTTTTACTCCTAAAATTATTGTATTATTATAGGAGAAGATGAAATGCTTTCAAAATGAAGTTAGGAAAATCAATATGTCTTGTTTTAAAATCTTAATTGTCAAGAACCAACCCTTGAACTCAAATAAAGCATAATTTGGTTCAGTAGGACTGGTAAGTATGGGTTGAATAATTTCTCACTCAGCTCAGTTATTAGTGAGAGCTTAATTACAGTTTGTGTAATAAATGAAAAATGATATATTAATTGACTGTTTTTTTGTTGATAAACTCAGACAGTGTTGTATAATTATGTCTATTCTCTGATTTTACCTTCTTTCCATTTTTTTCAAAATCTGCACTGCTTGGGCTAAGTGTGGTTTCCTTCTCCATATACTACAGTGCTTGACAAAAAGCTGGCATCTATCTGCAGTCATTCAAGAATTCAGTTTAAGTTAATTCAGTCTTGCTTTGCAGGCTTGTTAGCAACTTGGAAACAACCCCCCCCAGCTAATTGCTCACTGACGGATGTGGGCTTGCAAAAGAGCCCTGAGAAGGCACAGACCATATGGCACATAAAGTCACTGTGACACAGAATCTCCTGCTAGGTGCATGCCACTGAAAACAGGAGTGGACACCTCCCTGATACAGTGAAAAAAACCAAGTACTGGAATCTTGGAGTATGGTGTCTGGGACCCCAGAAATGTCTCTGCTGGCTGAATACAACAGCTTAAAATGCATTTGTACTACCTTATCTATGCAAACAAATAACATATGTGTATGACAATCGGCCTTAGAAGTACATTGCTTCATTCTAACCAATACATGAGATTTGAAAGATATTTTCTTTTTACTTTTCAAATTAAAAAAAAAAAAAAAATTAGATTTTTTAAAAGTAGTTTATAAGTGATGTTTTAATGAGAAGAACAAAACATAGCTGATCACTAAGCTTCATTTACTGTTTAAGTATGCAGAAGGACACGTTTGATGAGGTTTAGTGAACCTTGAACATGTCTGGGCAAAACGATAGAAAATAAATACAGAAGAATCTGCCTCTGTTTCCTATGAGCTGCATCAAGACAATGTCTTTTTGACTTATTTTGATACCAAAAGTGCTATCTTCCTGTTTATGTTGCATTTTATAGAACCATAGAATAATGGAATCACGGAATCACAGAATGGCCTGGGTTGAAAAGGACCGCAATGATCATCCAGTTTCAACCCCCCTGCTGTGTGCAGGGTCACCAACCATCAGACCAGGCTGCCCAGAGCCACATCCAGCCTGGCCTTGAATGCCTCCAGGGATGGGGCATCCACAGCCTCCTTGGGCAATCTGTTGCAGATTGAAACAAAAAGAAAAGAGAAGAACACACTGATTTATGAGAAATCTGACAATTTTTGTGGCCTGAATTATTTGGCTATGATTTCATTTTTTCCTTTTATGCACACCTCTGTTGTCCTACTTTTAAATTATCAGTGAGATCTCACCAGTGGCTGAGCTTTCCTCAGAGGAATCCAGAGAAGCATCTGTGGATGAATGCTTTAAAAACAAAATCATTAAATTACTGAATTTCACATCC